ACTACAGCGAGAATAAAAGTTACGCCTTCTTTCTTTGCGTGAACATTTGGGCGGCGTTATGCAAATATTCCCACATCGTGACGTAGACATGTGGGGGCGTGTTAGAACGAGCCGTTTTAGGTAGGTGTGGTTGACTCTTAACTTTTATAAAGAATATCTCTTTGGATTTGAGACTTTAGTCTTTGCAACTTTACAGATCTTATTTATGCACCAAGAGCTTGTATCACTTCAAAGAGAAAGGAAAAATTGAAATCGCATCATATGACCCCTTTAATATAAAATATTTCTGATAACACGAACGAAAATGCTTCAACTTAGCATTAAAAGTGTAATATATTGTTAATATTTTATATATATACTGTAAATGTTTCATATAATTTATTATTTTATTAATTTATTTATATTTATAATAAATTATACTGAACTCATCATTTATATAAAATGTTTCTTATAATAAAAATACTTCAGTTTTGCATATTTAAAATATAATGTAATTTTACATGAATAAGTTACATATATATTTTTATTTAAAAATGTATTTTATTATCATAATTTATTATATATAATGATACTGAACTGATAAACTAATATAAAATAAATCAAGTAAAAATAAACGGATATAAAAAAAATCAAATGATATTAAATTGATACATTTAAATCCCTCCACCCCTCTCCTTGCTTGATCAAACTAATTTTACCTATAAAAAGTACAGAATCTGAAATATCATAAAATGTCTTCGTTTTACTTTTTTTATTTTATTTCCATGATTAAAAATATATTTTAAACCCTAGATTTTGGATTCCACTGTATATGTTAAGATTTGTGGAACTAACCTCTGATTTCTATGCCATTAAACTTTTGTTTAAATTTCAGTCAGTGTGCTTATATTACTCGTTTTGCACAGCCGAATATGGTAAAGGCCTTTTGCTAACATTTTTCCACAAACTAGCCTAATGGCAAGCAGACAGCTGAATCAGGCCTGGGAGGCAGGTGAGGTATGTGGTGAGCACCTGAGAACTGGCACACCAGCTGTTGTTCTCTCGCTTTACAGTATCGCTTCAGGCTAAAACAAATCTTCCAAAAAACGAAGTAGATAATGTGCACTGGAAACAATTCATCACAGTGTCTTTAAAGAGACATAACCTCATCATGGCACAGGATGTCAATTTATGTTTACCAAACTGAATTACAAGTGCTGCCAGCTGGTGAGACTGTGACGTGCCAGACATTTATAATGTTTGTTTGGAACATTTTAAGTGATTTTAAGTGAGTCATGAGCTTTTGAACTCAATAAGTTAATAAAAAACTATGTATCATCTTTAATAACTATGATTTCAGTGTCAAATATCATATTAAACTTTGCTCACCACAATACCTACTACTAGCCAAACACTAGTTGCTGGGCAGTATTTGCACAATCTAGCATGAATGTGGACTTGAAAATACCAAGACATACACTTTGCCGATAAAATGTTACATTTGTTAAGCAAACACTAGATTCCGCCTAACCTGAGAAAAGCTGAGGCGCTCATAAACAGATCGGAGGACTATCAGGTCTTTGAACCAAAAAGGAACAAGGATACAACATTTGTTACACATAATCCAACCTCAGTTGGCCACTGTGAAAATGTTTGTTGAAGCATGTGGGAAAAAAATACTGGGTGATTCCACAGTGCACTTTATTTTCTTTTAATTTTTTATTGAATACTGGACATAGTTGAAATGAAAGGAGACATTTATGCAGAGCAATGCACCTCTCTACTCCATGAAACGCGCCACTGCAGACAAAATAAAAACCTCCATTTCCATTGTTGTGATGTGATACCAGCCAAACATCTGGCGGTGATTATATGTTATAAAACGGCCCGCCACACGGGAGTGGCTCCCTTTCCTCCTGCTGACTAAAAACAATGGAAATGTCTGGCACGACACACAGTCTCACCTTAACCTCATGAGACTTGGCTGCGCACAAATTAGCCTATGAAATGAGAGAGTAAAAATAAAAATACAATCACATTTCAGACCTCTGAACTTGTTTGTACTGAACATGTAATGAGAACCTTTCATGTATTTTAAAGGTAGAAAGAAAAAAAAAGTTTTTTTTATTAAAATAGAAACAATCAGAACTTAAATGTCTCACATATCAGGTTTGTGAAAATTGGTGAAAATCACATGAGTATACTTACAGAAAATGTTCAATGCATCCGCATATGAACAATTAAAAAAAAAAAAATAGAACAAACGAATTGCATGCGTCACGGTGCGTGTGGAGAGATGAAGCGAGGACTCAAGTGCAGGATGAATGGTTCTTTCTTTTAATAATAAAATGAAACAAAAACAAACTAAAACAACCCCGAGGGGGAAAAACAGACAGGCAGGCTAGGAACTGCACTACATGCAGACATAACACACACAATGAAAAACGACAGATCAGCACAGGATTACAGACACCAGGAGAATAAATAGGAAACCAAATGAGGAGGCTAGCGAGGGAGACACAGGTGGAGCAACTTAAACAATATTGAGGTAACAAGATGGGCGGGGCAAGACAATAGACAGGAGAGAGCACATAGCAACAAACAAACACAACACAAGCCATGTGCTCACAGAACACAGTGTCATCTGGTGGCCATCCTGGGCACAACCGCTGAAGACTGTAACAGTATGAGTCTGATCTTTGAAATGACTTTCATGATCTAGTCGTTGTGGTTCTTGAGTGGAAGGGAATATTAGTGAATAATGACTTAAATTGTGAACTGTTTGTCAGAGAGAAAGTCATCTTATGGCTTGAGAAGACTGTCTGTAGGTCAAATGGATTAATTTTATTATACTGTCCTTTATGAATCAATGTGTAACTAGTTTTTTTTGTTTGTTTGTAATTATGTATGAGGCAAAGCCACTGTGGGGAGAACTCGAATGTGCAGAAAATGTTGGGAAACTAAAGAACTTAGAGGTCCTGGAGGATTTTTGTCAAGGAGAGTGGACAATTTCACCTATCAGGACAAAACAGGGACTCATACACAACATACATATGTTGAATCCTTGTTCCTTTTTTGGTTCAAAGACCTGATAGTCCTCATACATACAGTGATGCTTGAGGTATAAAAAGAAATCACAATATTAAAAAGGTATATCAACTTTCTGAACAGTAAGTTCAGTTATCCTTTTGTCTTCTGGAATATATGTAAATATGTTATATCAAATAGCTTCATTAGAGAAGTTCTAAAGAAAAAATGTTATTTTATAATCTGTAATAAATAAATAAATATCTAGAAAATTCTGCACGGGCCAAGTAAAGTTAGAAGCAAAACTGTATAATAACTACTAAATAAATAAATGTTTAATTTCTTTTAATATCTTCTGAAATGGCTATGTAATGTTAAGAGCAAAACTGTAATAAATAAATAAATAAATGTTTAATTTATTTTTAAGAAAAATCGTGCCGATTTAGCCATTGCTAGGTAATGTTAAGAGCAAACTGTATTATAAACAATAAATAAATAAACATTTACATTTATTTTTAATAAATATCTTACAAATTCTGCAATGGCTATGTAAAGTTAAGAGCAGAACTGTATTTTAAGCATTATTTAAATACATAAATATTTTAAATTAATTTTAATAAATATCTTGCAGATTCTGCAATTGCTATGTAACATTAAGAGCAGAACTATTATAAACACCCATCCGTTCAGCTTTCTTCCCTCCTTTCCTCCCCCTCCCCCTCTTCTCTCTCGAGCTCACCTCCAGCCCTCTCTCTCTGCACTCTCACACACTCCCTCTCTTTACTCTGAGGTTGTGTGGACCACTTTTGCTGTCTGTATATGTTCCTGCTGCAAGAGTTGGAGTAAAGGTAAAAGAAGACCAACAGCCAGACAGCATAAAGCAGTGGACTGATCAACACAGCGTCATCATGTACAGTTTAAGCTTCCTACTGGTGCTAGTGTGCCTACAGGTTTGCGTCCCCTTTGTGTTTGGCGCGCCAACTCAATGCCCAAGCCAGTGCCACTGCCATGGGGACCTGCAACATGTTATCTGTGACAACGTCGGGCTGAAGAAGATCCCCCGCATATCTGAGGCCACCCGTCTCCTAAACCTGCAACGCAACAACCTGGGAAATCTCCCAACCGGGGGCTTCAGCGAGATGAAGGGGCTCATTTCTCTTCACCTGCAGCACTGTCAGATCCGAGAACTCTCCAGCCAGGCTTTCAAAGGACTGAAGAAACTCATCTACCTCTACTTGTCTAACAATGAGATCAGCACCATCAAACCAGGTGCTTTTGAGGACCTGACCGAACTGACCTATCTCTACTTGGA